TTATTTATCGAGCAAATACTTTAGAAGATGTAACTTTCTATTCTGTAACGTATGAATGTCGCATAGAATCGTTATATGCAACAGTGTTTTTTCGTGGAAGTCATCTATGTATTTAAATTCGTAAATATATTACACAATTGTATAAGACACTTCATTTTGACTTCATTGTGGCTACAGTCATTCCGATACTCTTAGAGGTATCTAACAATTGAATACGAGATTCTGTATTATCTAATGAATCACACAGATTTCGTGTCTGATTCTGCCGTCATAAACAGTGTCGCAGTCTGGCGCGTTACTCGAAATAGTAAATGTTTACATTTCACGTCAACTGTTCGATATACTACTCACATTCATAAATACTTCGTGCGTCTAATATCACGTCTTTTACCTGATCGCGTTAATTCCTTTGGTAAGCATTAGTAAACGAGATTCTGTAATTTTGTAATTATAACACTTTTAGTCAAAGTAATTGGCCATAACTGAAGACTTTCCAAGTGATTTCAATTCTGTGCAATTTCATTTCCAAACGTTCCTATTCCAATCTTCTGTTTGTACTCTGTTCGTAATTTACCACTAATCTTTTACCACTATACGTTTAAATATATAGTTCGAGAATCCAATATCTTTAATGAACTATTTATTCTGTAAAATAGGATTCTGAATGTTTCTAATATCACATGGCTTTGGCTTTCAAATATTGTTGTTGGCGATAGTGTACCGATTTTTAGCTAATTTAACTAATGCTAATGATTTACTATTGTTAATAACGTGTTCAATAAATAGAGATGCGCCGTAGAATTCGCATTCTGGAAGGTTATCTTTTGTGATTCGAAATTGGTAGTCATTAAATTAAGATTGGTAGTCATTAGAATTGTTGCAACTTCTCTTCTGGATGATTCCCTTCTGAGCAGGAACAATGTCTTATATTCATCTCGAACGCTATTCTGTTTGTTATGTAATATGTCAATTCGCTAATGCATCTTTAACTACACCGCTTAATTTAAAATAGTTAAAGTTTAGTTTCTGCACGAAGAAATTTCTTCATTTCTATTTTTATATTGATTTGTAGGATAAATAATCATAAGGATACTTGTTAAGATAGAAATAGTTTTAGTTAAAGTTGGTATCTTAGTTTTTAAAAATTTATTATTATACTTGGATGGGTGGTTAAAAATTTCATTGTACGCTCGTGGTGACCTAAGATACGAATGAAGAAAAGAAGGAAATCATAGCTGGAGCTATTCTACCATACTTTCTGAAATCAGAAAATAAGGGATCCAGAGGTACTAAATTTAATTTTATGTCACCAAATTTAAAATCTGTAACACTAACTGCCAAGAGCCACCCAGGTGAAACTTTCAATTTTTTCAGATAGTGAAAGAGAATCCATACTACAGCCAAAGTGGTCACCTATCGGTGCAACGATTCCTATACACTAACTTGGTACCAATCTCGTAGATATTAACGCAAAGTATTAGTTTAATGTGATGAAACGATTTCTGCTAGAGCACATCAAAGCACAAATAGCGTTTTCCTTCGTACCATCAGAGACAAATGCAAGAGTCTAACCATAAAAACTGAAGCATACGTCATGAAATTGATCGTAGAGTTCGAAACAGAGCATGTAATAGGCGTCGAATATGCTTCGAAAAACAAGCGAACTAAATTAAATACAGCTTTCGCTAAAAAAAAAAAGAAGTGATTCTCTCGGATTAAATCATTAATTCACCAAAAATTCGTATGCTCTCTGGAATTAGACCAAGAGAAGAATTAGAGAAATATGGAATTAATGTAATTAAAGCGACTTATCAGTTGGAAGGATTCTTTAATGAATCTTCAGGAATCAGCTATGTAGGAATGTATGATCTAGTAACTGCACTGAATTTTATTCATTCATTTTAACTGAAAATATCTTCATGAAGAAGGAAGATATTTGCTCTTATGAGAAGATACATAGGGAATCTTTATCTGCAATTGGTACTTCATTTGTTTCTGTTCATAGAAAGACATATAATGTATACGAAATATATTAAAAAATAGAAAAGTTGATTCCACTATTTCTTTTTCATATACTTCATACGTCGCAAGCTAATGAGCGTTGCTCGATGTCTCATTTGCAAAAATGTATCATTTGTTGTCCGCTATTAGGATCTAAAAGTAAATTCTGCTTGTGAAAAAAATCGGTCGTACATAAAATTTACATTGAAGGAAAACGATAAAACAGATATAAATTATCCTCGGACCTTCTAGGAACTGCGAAATCCTGAAAAGGAATAAGGGTGCTGAAGACTATAAATGACACTTGGAAGTAAAGACGGTAGTCAATTCGCAAACGGAGCTTCGAGTAAGATACTTCGACTGTACTACTCAGTAGATAGAGCAGGCACTTAGCCTTCTCATTCATAGTGATCAAAAAAATGTATGTGCTTACCAACGAACCAAAGAAAGCCTGCACGCGCAGGGAAGGAAACACATCTTCAGAAATTGTTACAAACAACAACGCCGAAGCAGCGAACCTGAACTGCGCACCCGCAAATAAGGCCTCATGAAGACGGCAAAGAGAAAAGCCAAAACAGGACACGCTAAAGTTAATACCACAAGAAAAAGTTATCGTTAAATCATCTTTTTCGTTCATAACTCGAAACAGTACAAGAATATGTCAGAATCCATCAGCACAGATCGACTGAAACGTCTTAGCAAAAAACCTTCGTAGACTCAAAATAAATAAAATAAATAGAATAAATAAAAAATAAATAGAATGAATAAAAAATAAATAGAATAAATGAAAAATAAATAGAATAAATAAAAAATAAATAGAATAAATAAAAAATAAATTAAATAAATAAAAAATAAACTATTACCCACAAACCACAACTGACAAATAACGAAATCAACTTTAGTCAAAAAATACGAAAATCTTACCGCAATGCGTAATACAAAACCAGAATTAACTTTCTCCAGTAAAAAGCATTTGATTCGGTATGGCACGATGAATCAATAGCCAAATGTACCAAGTCAAATATTAGCCATTATAATAAAACTAATCAGAAACTATGTAACAGACAGGGAATTCATAGCAACAGTAAATGAAACAAATTTCACCACCAAGGCAATAAAAACTGGTGTCCCGCAGGGCTCTATACTAGAGCCAATACTATTCACAATATACATAATTAACACATCAAAATCAAAAAATACACATGTACGTGGACGATACCACGATATACGCATCATTATGGTAATCTGACAAAGCCACTGAATATCTACAAAAATACCTAGACGAAATAAATAAGCACATGCAAAAATGGAAACTGAAAATCAATCCGGAAGAAGTCACAATAAATGAACACAACGTATCATAGTGAAACCACAGCAAAATATCTAGGAATAAATCTAGGCAATAAAATGACATAGGCGCAGGCAATCACAGAAAGGGCAGAAACCTACCTCGTACTAAGATTATACACACTTATAATGAATAACAACAAATTAAAAATAAATATAAAACTTGCATTATACAAGACATATATAAGACCCATAATCACTTACGGACATCAAGTCTGAGCTGCTGCAGCCAAGTCACATATAAACAAAGTCCAAAAAATCCTGAATACTTTTCTGAGAATATTTTTAAATAAACTATATTACAAGTCAATAGTAGAACTCCATGAAATAGCAAAAATGCCCATCTACCACAATCCTAGAATCTAGATTCATCGTAAATGCAAACACATTTGTGAAGAACACGGGTAATTATAACATAGACGAAATACCAGTGAAAGTCGAAATCAAATTATGTCAAACAATCGTCTCATACAAATACCTTAGAGCTGGAGCTTTCCTCTTTAATTAGAACTTTTTTCTTCTGTCGAGAAAATGAAAATTTTTCATTTACATAAAAATGTATGGAATATAAGTTTTCAGTGGTTTGATGAAGATGATACTCAAAAAAATTATGGTTATCTCAGAGCTATGTAATCTGAAATTTTAACAGTTACATTATCGTCTCCAATTGCTATCGCTATAGTAAGCTGTGTCTCCAAGAAATTGTGCATCCAATTTTGCAACGTCTGTATTGCTAATGGCTGCTGATCGCCTTATCTAACTTCTATTTGATATTCATAATATGAATTTCGAAAAATTACCATCAATCAAATACATGTGTATCAAGATACCGAATATCTTCTATTCATAAATACTAATGTGTATATACATGTATGTAACGTAAAAAGTATTTTACTTGCAATACTATTAAGAATATATATATATATATATATATATAAAATATAAAATTATATAATTTATACAATTATACACTTGTACAATTCGACGTTTATTCAAAAGCGCTGCAGTTCAACCGAATCGTTCGATAGTTTGCATAGAATTGAATTAACTTCCCAGTGTTATTTATAGTCATCAGATACTATTTCTTCTAGGGATTTCGCAGGTCCTAGAAGCTCCGAAAATACTTCGTATCCGCTTTATATTTTTCCTTTATATGAATTTGTGCTGAAAATATTTCATATTAAATTAAATACTTTTAATATATGTATATTTTTTATTATTATACAGGAACACTGATTTCTAAATTTTTCTTAAATTTTCGAGAATTGTATAAATTTCGTTGTTAAATAATAACTTCGTTATACTTGGAATATATCAGGAATTTTTAAATGTCAACAACCTCTCTTGCTAAAATTATTGGTATGTTACAGATATCGACATTTTGAACAACTTCTCCCTTTGCACACACCGGTGATTGATTTCATTTTCCGAGATATTCGCAAAAAACTACACCGAAGAAGCCTACAATTATAGCTATATAAGTTTCAAAGTTAATTATCTGCCATCATGTATTAGCCGGGTATAATAAATTAACTCAATCTGAATTCTTATCTTATCAAGCTTATTACATGTGGTCCGCGTAATCTTGAGTAATTTCTGAGCCAGCCTTCAATAATATTTTTTCTGCCATGCCATATTTATACAACCAATAGTCATATTTAGAGTTTACGTGCAAGAATTTACAAGCTTGGCTAAAACAGCGTGTATAACTGCATGTGCGAAATTACATCAAACTAGTGCTATAAATCAATTAACAACAAACGTCATCAATATATTCAATTTATGTTCTTCTTATATCTTCAATCCGCGGTAAATTATTCGAAGAAATCCTTTAAAAGATTTTATTTTCCATTCTGAAACATACACACAAATACAGCTGTGATTTTCGTAGCAGTTATGTTTAGTTAAAGTTATATGTTTAGATTCGTAAGATACGATAAAAATAACGGCCAATGTGCCAGTTACAAACATATCACAATTACATAATGAGTGTTTTCAATACAAATACAATTTTTGGTACCGGCAGATTTTTACAAATATTTTGAAAACTAAACCTGATTGACTAAATGCAAAGGAAAAATTTCAATATCTATAATAAGTGCAAAAATTGTTGGAAAACAATTTATTTCTCGCACAATTTCACCTATTTAATTATTTATTATTATTATATGATATTTACACTGGATAAATAATATGTTAGTACAAATCTCTCGCATGTGTCGTACGTCGTGGAAATAAATATCATTATATTACTATTATTTAAGTAATTTTTAATATAAAAATTAATTATTAATATATACATTTTCTTATATTATAATTAATTAATTTTATTAGGAACATAAGAAACCTGAAAATTGCAAGTGACCAGAGGCTGTACTGGAAATGTGACATGTTTCTCTGAGCATAATTAAGTCTAGTTATATAAAATGAGAAGTGCGACAGAATTAAGCAGGGTAATCTGTTTAATTAAGGGATTAGGAATTCCAGGTCTAGAGATTTTAATATAATTTGACTATTATAGTATTCGTCAAAATTATGGAGCTTCAAAAGAATTAATCAGACATAGAAGGGTATATTGGCCTCTTTTATTCTATTCTTAATTTTCTTGAATTCTTGAAAATAATTGAAATCACTGAAATTATTTGCAAATTTGATTACTAAAGCATCAATTATGTCATTTGTGCTAGTATCTGCTAACCAGATAACGTTTGACAAATATGAAATAAAAAATGGAAATGTATGTAAAAAAAAAAATAAGTATGTCAGATGTAAGAATATGTAATTAAAAGTGACACAGTTCACTTAAAAATTTTAGTTTGACGTTCACTAGTCGTTTAAGAGTCATTGCAAAAGCAAACGGGTAAGAGCATTGCATGACATGTTCCTTCATATCATATATTTCTAAAATATTTTTTCATACTTTTCATGTTTTCTGAAATAGATGAACATTTCCAGTTAAATTGGAAATAGTATGCACACATGTATAATACTTAACTAAGTGTATAATTGTTCTTAACAGTTAAGTAAGTTATCAATAAGACCAAAAATTCCAGACAACCAAGAAGAATCATAATCTGATAACTAAAAAGATGTCGTGGGTACCTCTAAATCTATCAAGCTTCTGCACATCTAATTCTACATTATCAGCCTGTCAATCATCCAGCTTTATGTTTCTTGCACTCATCGCTGATCTTTTCGGACACTCTGAAGATTCATATCCCAATAAGAGAATAGGTAAATACAGACAAAAATAATTCAATTATAATACAGGAAAATGCAGGTAAAATGAAGACTAAAATATCGTGTAGCCAAAATCCGATAAATCATTCAATAAAATGTTATAATAAAGATATCATTTTAAGATATCACCAATAGTCTCGATATCACTTTGTATCGATAATAGAGGTTGATACTTTAAAATGGAAATATGGCTTTACATTCATTTTTTTTTTTTTACAACCTGTTAACCAAGCATTCGTAGACTTTTTGCTAAATAATATTTTTATCTGCAAAACACAATGGTAGAGTTTGAATACACTTCGCAACACTCTATATATTTCAATTGTAATTATCTGTATTTCAAAATGAAATACAATTTTTACAGTATTCCTGATTTCCAAAAAGTATGTAAAAGTGTTTGCTTCATTGAGAAATACAAAAGATGGCGGTTCAAAACTTCAAGCAATTGTATTATTATGTTTTATCTAGCAATAACATGTGCTTGTAAACATGCATTAAACATACATTGAATTACTACTATTACTGAAACGTGTTATTTTAATCATTATATTTTGTAAATGTCAACATTATGTAGGAGTTATCGTGCTTAACACGGTAGTGGAGAATTTAACGCAAACATTTTTGCGCAGAAATTTATCAAAAATTAACGATGCCACCCAACATGTTATACACTTATTTGCATACTTATGTACTTAATGACTAATTATTTAAAATCATTAGAATGTGCAAGGTGCTGGTTAAAAAGTAAGAGCATTGCATAACATGTATATCTTGATATCATATTTTTTTAAATATTTTTCCATACTCTTCATATTTCCTCAAACATTTGAACATGTCCAGTTAAAATGGAAGTAGCGTATACACATGTATAATACTTAACCATGTATAATTGTTCTCAACATTTAAGTAAATCATCAAGGTGACCAAAAATTCCAAACGACCAGGAGTCATAAGCTGATACCAAAAAGATGTCTTGGGTACCTGCAAATCTATCAAGCTTCTGCACATCTAATTCTACATTATCAGTCTGTCAACCATCCAGCTTTATGTTCCTCACACTCGTCGTTAATCTCTTCGGTCATTCTGAAGACTATCCAAATGAGAGTATAGGTAAATACAGGCAAAAATAATCTAATTATAGTACAGGCAAGTAAAATTAAGACTAAAATATCGTGTAGCCAAAATCCCATAAATCATGAATAAAAAGGTATAATAAAAGTATCACCAATAGTCTCGATATCACTTTATATTGATAATGGAGACTGATACTTTAAAATACACACATAGTTTACGTTCATTTTTTTCTTTTTACAGCTTGTCAACCAAGCATTTGTAGACTTTTTGCCAAATGATATTTTACCTGCAAAACACAATGGCAGACTTTGAATATGACAACCCGCAACACTCTGTATATTTAAATTGTAATTATCTGTATAACAATTTTTACAGTATTCTGATTTTTCCAAAAAGTATACGAAAAGATTTGTTTCATTGAAAAATGGAAAAGTTTGCAGCTTAAAATTTCAAGCAATTGTATAATTATGTTTTATCTAGCAATAACATGTGCTTGTATTAAACATACCACTTTTACTATAACTTAACTATTACTATTACTGAAACTATCGTTATTTTGATCGTTATGTTTTATAAATGTCAACATTATGTAGAAGTCATTGTACTTAACATGGTTCTGGAGAATATAACGCAAACATTTTTGTGCAGAAATTTATCAAAAGTTAACGATCGCTCAATATATTATCATATAAAATCATTATTTTAGTCTTTATGATTATTTAATCATTTTCTGAGCGCGGGAAAGAGATTGCAGCGAAATTCAATGAAAAATATATAAATATGTTGTGTGTAATTTTAAATAACAATTTGTAGATGATATGTTTTATAATAATCACAAATATATTTAATATTATTATTAATTACAATAATAATAATATATAATATATAATAATCCCACATTTTATAATTAAAATCATATTTTATATATGAATTTTCCAGAGGAAGAATATGATTTTATTATTGTGGGAGCTGGATCAGCCGGATGTGTCGTTGCAAACAGATTAAGCGAAGTGAAAAATTGGAAGGTATTCATAAAATTAAATATTTGCGTTATAACGTACTAACGTGCAGTTATCTATGCCGACTTATGTTTTTAAAATTATATAATAACTGAATTAAATGAAGGCTAGATGGAATATCTACTAAAGCTATTGTTACTCAACGATATTTTGTTTTTTTTGAACGTTAGATAATCCAATAAGTATATTTATAACATGATACGTTCCATGATATTAATCGTCATTTCACTATTCAGTAACAATCTACTGAAATGTTTTAAATACTTTAAATACTTCGAATACTTTGAATTACATTTTTAGATATTGTTATTGGAAGCTGGTATAGAAGAACCAGAGCCAGCTGATGTTCCGGCTTTTGTCTCTATATTACCTGGAAGCAATATCGATTGGATGTATCGCATGCAACCGGAGCAGCATTCTTGTCGATCCAGGAAAGATGGAGGTTGTGCGATGCTAAGGGGTAAAGTATGTAGACACATATTTCGATACTTTAACATTCTATAACTTCATACGAGACACTGACTTGTCAAGAATAAACAGAAAATTTAAAATTTCCATTTATTTGTAAACAATTAGTATAACATAGGTGATTATAATGACAAATGTACTGGAACACAAATTATAGAAGAGTTTATGTTTATATATTATATTCTACAAAATGTCTCGAAATATCATGAATATATTTATAGTTATATTCGTCAAATTTGTTACGAATCTAGCATTACTTGAAGTAGGTCTAGTATTAAAAATTTATTATTATACTTACAGGTGATGGGTGGTTCCAGTACTACCAATTACATGATATATGTTCGTGGTAATGCAAAAGATTATGACGGGTGGGCAGATGCAGGAAATCGTGGCTGGAGCTATGAAGAAGTTTTACCTTACTTTTTGAAATCAGAAAATAATAGGGATCCACAGGTAACAAATTTAATTAGAATTCATATTATCATTTACCATAAGATTAAACTGTATACAATGTATATTTATTATTATTATTATTTTAATTATAATCAGAATGAGTTTTATTCTCTAAACAAGGCAAGAATCATTTAATATAATTATCCTCACAGATATTCGTTCGAAAATTATTTCAAATTCAATGTGTAGTAATTACGAGTAGTAATTTAGCTGTTTTAGGTGGATATGAATATTGATGATTTTTTTTATATAAAATCACGTAATGTTTGTTTTATAGTACATAATTGCTTTATCTATATATTTTCAATTGATGTAGCAAATCTTGCTCTACGAAAAGATATTGACTTATTTATGGTAAAAAATTGGGAGGTATTCTGACAACAATTTTCTTAAGTTTTGCTATATATATACACAATACATAAATATCATTATTATATTATACTGTTCTAACGCTGATCAATTTAAATTTTCGATAATTAGAACGAATTTAAATTAATTTTTACCACTTTAAATATTTTAACAAATTTATCTACAATTCTCTGATTTATTATACGTATTTTGCATCTACTATAAATACATAAAAAATATAATTAAAATATAACCATGGTCTTCTTCTAAATATTATTTATCAAAAAAACTAGTGATAATTCGTTTTAGCAGTGATAAATTCATAACACACTAAATTCATATTAAATCAAACTAAAACTAGAACAAACAAACCAAACAAAAATTTAAATTCATCTAAAATTATTAACTACTTTCAATTTTTCCAGATAGTGGAAGACAATCCACTCTATCATAATCAACATGGTTACCAATCGGTACAACGATTTTCATATGTCGATATTAACGCCGAGATCTTGCTGAATGCGTGGCAAGAACTAGGTTACAAAGTCGTGGATGTCAACGCAAAGAACCAAGTAGGTGTCATGAAGGTACAAACGACATCCGCTAATGGAACACGCCAAAGCACTAATAACGCTTTCATACGACCCATCAGAAGCAAACGCAAAAATTTAACCATCAAAACAGAATCATACGTTACGAAATTGGTTGTAGACAACAAAACAAAACGTGTAACAGGCGTCGAATATACTTCAGGAAACAACCGAACTAAATTAAATACAGTTTTTGCTAGAAAAGAAGTGATTCTCTCGGCTGGATCGATTAATTCACCAAAAATCCTCATGCTGTCTGGAATTGGACCAAGAGAAGAATTAGAGAAACACGGTATTGAAATAATTAATAATTTATCAGTTGGAAGGAACTTTCAAGATCATGTAGGAATGTATGGTCTAGTAATTGCACTGAATTTTACTTCCACGAATAAAAATATTTTCATTAAGGAGGAAGATATTTTGTCTTATCAGAAGACACATAAGGGACCTTTATCTGCAATTGGTCCTACTTCTATCAATGCTTTCATTCAAACAATGCTTCAAGATGAGAATGGCGTGCCTGATATCCAACTAATTCCTGTTACAGCTGATCAAAATGATTTTTTAAGTTATCCAGCCGAATCTTTTGATATACCTCTTATCCCATTACTTTATTATGATGCTATGTCTATTATTCCATTTTTATTGTCACCTAAAAGCAGAGGATTTATATTGTTAAATGATGATGATCCTTTTTGGGCTCCACCTTTAATTTACCCTGGTTATTTTACAAATAGTAGTGATTTGGACGTATTGATAGAAGGGGTGGAAGCAACATTAAAATTATTTGATACAGAATCGTTTAAAGAGAATGATTTTAAGTTAATGGATAAGCCTTTACCCGCTTGTAAACAATTTGAGTTTGGTGTTAGGGATTATTGGAAATGCGTAATGATGGAATATACAGGCACTCTTTTTCATTCGGCTGGAACTTGCAAAATGGGGCCAAAATCGGATCCTGAGGCTGTCGTGAATGACAGGTTGAAGGTTTATGGAGTCGATGGTTTGAGGGTTGTAGATGCCTCGATTATGCCAAAGATTGTTAGGGGAAATACGAATGCGCCTACTATTATGATCGCGGAGAAAGCTAGTGCTATGATTAAGGAAGAATGGTTGTTTGGCAGAATTTGAGTTATATAATATGGAATGGATTAAATAAAGCTTAAATATGATAGTTAATTGTCTCTACTTATCTGCTGCAATACTAAAATAAATATTAAAGTAATAAATAATGTAATATTGTATTATCAAATTATATGTACACAATAGAAAGAGGGATTTCATAATACAATGGTCGCTGAATTACAGTTTATTAGCTCTATTATTAAAATAAATTGTTAGTATTAAGAAAAATCTTATAAATAAAAGAAGTATTTCTTTTAACGAATTTGACTTGTAATATCATTATTATACAGTCGTTATTATATTGTAACTGTATATATCTACTAATTACAACGCTAGATATTTATTAAAATTTACAATTTTACGCATGCGGACAGATGAATAAATTTGAAACAGAGAGTTTTTACTAAAGGAAGGAAATTTTAAAAAGTACTTCAATTTGTGATTTTTGCATGTTTTCTTATGTTTTATGAAGTTTTGTATCAGTTAGTATATATAAACATTCACCAGTTTTTCTATTATGCAGCTTGTCCATTTAAGTAAGACCATTTATTTTTTCGAATTGTGACGGTGCAAAAAATATTTTTCACCTAATATGAATAGTATCAAAAGACTAATAATTTGTTAACATTGATATCTGAAAATTAAAAGATTTTCTTTTAAAAATCTCTTCCGTGAATATCTTAATGTAAAGATAAATAATGCGGGTGAAATTATTTTTTTTTTTTATATCCGTATTATGTTAATTTTAGAAATGCTACTCTCACACTCAAGTTGCCTTTGATTATCATATGGATTTTCATTAACTCTAGCGTAATTAATAGTTTTGTCATCATACATTTTTTTACGATACTCTCAATTTGACGAAAATTTGTGACCACCTTTGCACATGTTACGTAATTGACAATTACGATTATGAAATGTATCTTTGTACACTCCCAACTGCTTCTCCCAAACACTAATCACTTTTACTATAGATGAATATCATATTGATTTCTTCCTGCGTTGAGTATTCCATCATGTATTATTGACAAACTTTTATACACTAATCGAGATTTCAAGCTATTACAAGAGATGATCATTGATGCAATAAATAGTAAACATGTTTCTTGGCCATGGTTTCTGATAGAAATAAATTTTAATTTTAGATAAATTTTACGTAAAACTTAAATTTTTAGTCATCAGTGTTATTTCAATGTTATATTCTTTACATATCTATATGTATGTCTTACTAGTTACACAATGCAATAAAGAAAGTAAGTGGTTGTATGAAAAGAAAACATCAATTCAATTTGAAAACTCCGAGAAAAATGGAAAAAGAATTTCTTACCTGTTATTAGTTTTTTGATACCATTCGTGCTAGATGAAAAATATTGTTTGCCTTATTACAATTTGAAAAGATTACCTAGATCACCTCATTTAAATGCAACGCCATTTAATGGTGCTATGTACATGTGCAAGATGGGTTGAAGCAATTGGCGATTTTAAGTCTTTCCAGTACTCCGTACATATCGACAAACAAAGAAAAAGTGTAAAAATAGAAAAATGAATTCTATTATATTGGTTTCATATATCATATATTTCAAATGAACGCTATTCGATGTCTCGTTTGCATAGTTGTATAATGCGTTGACCGTTATTACGATCCTAAAACAAATTCTATCTTATTTTCTATTATATTCGAACTTTTATGTAGATCGTTTAGAAATATAAACTGATTAATTTCTATCAGATTGTTGTATTTATATAAAAGAACCGTATTTATATAAAAGACCGTATTTATTAACGTGCAGATTCGTTCAAAAGCTGATGATTAATCCTCAAACCCGCGTTATAGGGTGGCATATAACTAAATCAACGTGTATCATGTCACAAAAGTTAGAAATTACTCAAGAGTTAAGAAATTATTTAATTTTATTTTGTATTTTACACTTTTTGAGATTAAACAATAATATTAAATTTTTTAGATTTAATAATAATATTAAATTGAATGAAAAATTTCCAAATTAAGCAATAATTCCTGTCCCTTGAAACATCCAGTGATGTCATTCACAGGATTAAAAATGTTATTAAATAATATTAATTTCATGTTTGATCGAATTTATAGCTAGAAGTTTGTCGAGCACTACTGTCCAAAAAAAAAAGATAATGAAATTTTATAAAGACAAGAAGATATTGTATTGCAAGAAGAAAGAATTGTATTTATATATATTTTCTGTAACCCAAGCCAAACTTAACGATAACAATATTCAATTATAGTTCTAACATTATGTATTTAAATATTTTCGTACATTACACGATGGAAATGTAAAAACAGAGCATGTGGTTTTTTTTTAAATATTCATTAAGTTTCAGAAATTATCATTCGCCAATATTCTCTCCTTATTTTATATTTAACATACATATATAGATTGCTTTCTATCTTTGCGAGAGAGTTTTTCGTTATACTTGAATTCATAGACTTGCTATTAGTATCTAGCAGCATGTTTTCGAAACTAATGGATGCATCCGAAAATATAGTCCCAGAATCAAAAAAGTATATATCAAGAAAGCTAACTGTTGTATTCAGATCTATAGTTCTAAATCGATTCAAATAATTATATATTAAGAAATATATTGATTTCTTAATCCGGTCACACAACAACAGAAAATATTCTACTTCTAAAAAATATTTTATTTCTAATATTTTATGTATCTTAGATTGTAGTAAATTCTCCATGACTTTTCAAATCTTGGTGATTTTAAGAATTTCATAGATCTTCAAATTATTGAAAAATGCATAAATACCTGTAGTCTTCAAATTATTATCAAATTATTGTCTCACATAATAGAATTCTGAACACATACAATTTTTTAACGTTGTAATCACAACGAAGTGAAAATAACATTATAATGATAATGTGTTCCAAGAAACTATATTTAAAAAGATGAAATAAAAAGAAACATGATGTATTCAATATCATTATTGTTATTATTAGTTGATTTAAGTAATACACTTCGTTATATATACAGTATGTGTATACACGTTGTATATACGTTATATATACATAACGTTCATTACAGTTATCAGACGAAGTCGACCACCACATAAATAACCCATTAGTAAATATTTCATTTTCACAAATTATGTCCAATACTATCTTGCGAATATATTATACTGCTGCGAATATATTACTGCTTAAACTTAAAAAATGCAAATGAATAAATTACATTTTTAAATGCAAAACCATTATCTGTCGAAATGTAAATATGTTTTTATGTATGTAAATTTGATATGTTAGTAAAATATGCGTGATTCCAATGAACAATATTTGCATTAATTATTCGTGCCATACAAGCATATATTATGATTTATGTTTTATCTATGATAAAATGCAAGACAAAGGCATGACCAAAACTATTTAAATCGGGACTTGATATATGTCGTATATTTCATATATTTGTAATATTTAATTAGAATTCATTATATTAATCGTTATTTAACTAGTTATCTATAATGCGTCTATTAATTATTAATATATAAATTTCTCTATATTATAGTTTATTTATTTTACTCAGAACATATAAAAGATTGAAAATTACTTGCTATAAAAAATTGAAACCTATAAGTTAAAGTAAAATAAGATTGTAAGCAATTGAGCTGTTTGTAAAAGTAATACCTTCACTTAAGCGTTTGAATATTTTTATGAATTAAATGTATGTAATATTAAATGTATTAATTTGTATTGTATGTACATTTACAGAAGGGACCTGCTAACTGTTGTGTCATTTTTCGTTGGCAAATCAATCGTCGATAGTTAATCAACGATGATATCAATTGAAAATTTTTTTATATTAAATAGACTAACTAATCCTTAGTAGATAGATAGATAGATAGGTCTTTATAGTTTTCCCTTAGGATTACAATTCCGCTTTTTTTCCACCTCCATACAGTCTTCTTAGAAATAAATACAATAATCATTCACTAGTCTAACATCATATAACCTCCACTCACTTATCATTCCCTAATAATATAATATAATATAATATAATAATAATATAATAACCACTACTTAATTACACCATAAGCATTACCATAGCTAACATCCTACTATATATTCCATTATGCCCGCTCTTATATCTAATTATATCCGTTTCCTTCACCCCACCCTATCTTTGGCCTCATTCCTTGTACTATTATCGCTTTGTCCTTTTCCTTGTCCTATTCGTCCCTCGTCATTCTCTTCCTACCCTACTTTGTCTTCCTCCTCCGATCTACCCTCACATCTTCTGATTCATGCTTTCCATCCACCTCTCTCTCCTCCCAATCATCCCTCTATATCCCGTTCCTCCGTTCCTGCAGCTCCTTCTTCCTGCCCTCTATTTCTTTTTCTATCCTTTTCAACCATCCTTCTCCTTGTCCTTCCTCCTCCAGAATTCTTCCAACGTTTACCTGCCATCTTCCCTCCTCCTCCCCACTTCTTCCACATATCTCCCATACATGCTCCCACGTCTCCTCCTGGCACAGCCTACATTTCGTTTTCTCTTCCATTTCCCAGTACCTTCCTTCCTTGATTTCATTCCCCAGTCTATACCTGGCGAGCCTTCTCACCCTATTTGTCTTCCATTTGTCATCCCTTTCATGTAAATTGGCATTCCTTTTTTTTTATGCCTTTGTATCATTTATTATACTTTGATTCTATGATCTTTTACCACTTTTCCCTTTTCTGTATCTCTTTATGCTTCCTCTCGATTTCCTCATATTCTAATTCCTTTCCTCCATTCATCTCTTTCTCTTCTTCTGCTCCCAATCCCCTCACTCTGTAGAACTCCCTTTTCTTTTCCCCCAACCCCCTTTCTCCTTGCTCCTTCCCCTCCTCTCACGCACTCCTTTCAATACCCTCTAGCCACCTCCCCTCCTTTCCGTTCTCTCAGCTTCTTCTCATAACTCCAGGCTAACTTCCCTGCTCTTGTTCTTAATAGATCTCCCTGCCACTCTTCCCTCATCATGTATCCTGGCGTTTGCCATTCCATCCCCAGCGCCCATCTTAAGTACCTCTCCTGGATCCTCTCCACCAAACCCCTCTCCTTCCATCCCCATATCTCCGTATGCTCATAGCTCAACACCGTCCACACCAGCCTGTCGAATAGCCATACCCTCCTTTCACAGTCTTTCCTAAAGAGTTTCATTCCGATTTCCCATACCATTCTCATCACCATTGCCGCTTTTTTCAACCTTTCTCTTATCTGCGCTTCTTGGCTCCCATTCCTCACCAGTCTATAACCCAAATATTTGAACTCTTTCACTTCTTTCCTCTCCATTTCCACTCCACTCTGCTCATTTGTCCCATTCCCACCTTAAACATCATTATCTTCGTCTTTTCCACATTCAAACATAGCCTCCTTTGATCCAGGTATTTATCCAATCTTTTGATCAGCTTCCTCATCTCTTTCTCCCCCTCCGCTAACACCACAATATCATCCGCGTATGAAAGGCAGTAAATCCTTTCTTTGCCAATCGTTACCCCTCCTCCCAACCCTTTCCCAATTCTTTCTCTAAATCCGATAGAAATATATTGAATAAGTGCGGACTTAGTGTACACCCCTGTTTCATTCCCCGCGCTGTCCAGAAGCATCCTCTTGTCTCACCGCCTACTCTTACTCTACTTCTCGTTTTCCTGTATATCCTCTTCATTCTCTTAATCATATCTTCGCTTATTCCTCTTTTCTCCATTGTTTGCCATAACTTCACCCGGTCTATCGAGTCGAAAGCCATCTTTAGATCGACGAATAGCGCAATTAGCTTTTTTTCCTTTACCCTCGTATACTTATATATTATATAGTTCAGCGTATAAATATTGTTAATCGTCCCTAGTTTTTTCCTAAAGCCTGTCTGTCCCTTACTTAGTATCTTCTTTCTTTCCATTTCTATCACCAATCTTTCCGCTACTACGCTTGCACATATTTTATATAAAGTATCTGTTATTGTAACTCCTTTATACTCTTCCACTACTTTCCTATCCCTTTTCTTCTTAACTGGCACAATCAACCCTTCCTTCCAGCTTCTCGGCCACCATTCACCTCTCCATACTCCGTTACAACACTTCCCATACCCAATTCTCCACCTCTCCTCCTCCGTATTTCCAAACCTCGCTTGGTATTTCGTCTGTTCCCACCGCTTTTCCATCTTTTAGTCTCCTTAGCACTTTCGTTATCTCCTCCTTTCTAATCCCTCATCGTTTTCACTGCTTCCTACCCTCCATTCTACCACATCCATTAATTCTGTAAAATATCTCCCCCACTCTTCCATTGTTATATTCTCTCCCATCCTCTCCCTTCTTCTTCTTCTTCCTCTGTTCACCACTCTCCATACATCCATTTCTAATCTAGCCTTGCGTATTCCTCCCTACTTCCTTTTCCCCTTCTCCAGCTTCTCAGTTTCCTTCTCTTGGTCCTGTGTCTTCTTTTCCCTACATTTCTCATTCCACCATTCAGTTCTCTTCCTTCCTCCCTCCAGCTCTTCCTTTAACGCCTCTCTTATTTTCCCTATATCCTGTTTCACCATTTCCTCCGTGCTTCTTCCTTTTCTCCCCATTTCTCCTAATCTTCCCCTACATTTCTCCACACCTTCTGTTGTCCAATCTCCTCTTCATCTTTTCTTTTCTTTTCCTTTACTTTTTCCCTCTTGTTCTCCCTTTCCTCTCACAATCAGTGGTAAGTGATCCGAGTCTACTCTCTCTCCTACTTCCATCCTTTTTATTCCTTCCTTTCCTTCATCATCTGTTAATACATAATTAATCACTGACTCTTCTCTCGCCCCCGCATAGATGCATTCTCCTCCCTCGTCCCTCTCTATGTTTCCATCTACAATAAACCACCCCGTCTCCTCTATCGCCTTTAACAGTTTCCTGCCCTCTGCGTCCACTTTCTTATCCTTTGATCTCCTTTTTCCTGCCTGTTCTGCCTCATCCTCTCTCCATGTTTTTCCTCCAAATTTCCCCGTCCTTGCATTTAGATCTCCTCCAATTATTCCTTTTACCTCCTTTTCTTCTATCTCCATCCAATCTTTTATTCGTTCTACTTTCTCTTCTACATCCCCTAGTGTGTAGATTCCTGTCAATCTCCACACCTCGTTTTCCATTCTCACTTTCAATTTTATCATTCCTTCCGCTACCGAAATCAGCTCTTCCACCATCAAGTTCTTCTTCACCACCACTAATATGCCTCCTATTGCTGCTCCTCTCTTGTTTTTCCTACCTGCATCTTGTTTATACCACTCGTATCCTTTCGGCAGTTTGCTCTCGATCCTTCCCCATTCCTTCCTCTCCAACCATGTTTCCAGCAAAAACATAACCTCCCACTTTCCTAATTTACCTCAGAATTAGTTGTCTTTATTACCTAATCCTGCCACATTCCAGAACACCACTTTCCAATTACTCTCACCCTTTTTTCCTTTTTCCTCCATTCTCTTTTCATTTCCTCCTACTCCTTTCGCTTCCTTCTTTCCTGCCTTCTCTACCTCCAGCTACTTCTCTTCACTCCTCTCCTCCTCCCTTCTAATTCCCCAAGTCTTTAGCACATTTCCCTCCTCATCCCATTTCCACCATACATCATCTATCAGGATCTTCCCATATCTTATCCACGTCCTCCTTCCTTTTTTCCGTTTCTTCTCCGCAATTTTTCTTAGTTCTCTTTGCATTTCCCGCTCCCTCTCTGTGAGATCGTCCAACCTTTCCTTTTCTCTCTTGAGCTTGTACTTATTGGCCATTATGCCCATCTTCTGTTTTAAGCTTCCTATTTTCACCACTACCATATCACTCCTTCCTGCTATCCTGTTTATACTTTCCACTTCCGTCTTTTCACCTATCTTTTCTATAATCCTTTCCACTACCTTTTCCTTTTCCTTTCCTTTTAGATTCACTTTTTTTATTACAATATTCCTTCTCTTCTCTTCTCTCTCCTTTCTTTCCAACTTCTTTTCTATCGCCCTAATCCTACTCCTTACTCCCTGCCCCCTCTCTCCTATTTCTTCCCCTTCTCTCTCCTCCATCTCCCCCATCCTTTCTTCCAGCTTATTTATTCTTTCTTCTAATTTTCTTCTTTCTTCTACCATCTTCTCCACTATCTTTCTAATTTCCTCCCTTATTTTATTCTTGAGCTTCCCATCTCCATTCCAATTCTCTTTTCCACGCTATCTCCTAATCCCTAGATTATCTCCTTCTGTTGCTGCCCCATTTCCTGTATGATCTCTCTAAGCTCCTCTACATCCTTCCTTTTTTCTTCTTCTTGTTCTTCTTTATCTTTTATCTTTTTTGGTGACTCCCCCTCCATATTCTTTCCCTCTGCTTTTGCCCTTCCTTTGCTCATTTATCCAATCCTCCTTCATTATTCTCCGCCCCTACCTTCTTTTCTCTCACAGATCTCTCCCCTCTGATCCCTCCTTTCATATTTCTAAGCTCTCTGCTTTCTCCAATCTTCTTTAGATCTTCTCTAGAGATCTTCTTTTCCTCTGCTGTGCTCCTCTTTTGTTTAACGATGTCACCGCTTCTGATCCTCTAACACCTGTTTTTTCTAACTTCTCTTTCTCTTCTCTTTTTTTTCTTCATTTCTCCTTTTCCCTTTATCTCCCGTCGCCCACTCCTTTTTCTTCTCCAACGTATCTTCCTTCCTTCTGCTTCTACCTCCCCAAACCTCGTATAATCGCACTTCTCCTATCTAAACTTCTTCAAATTAACTTCCTTTTTTCAGTTTCCGTCACTCCGATAACAATCCTTAATAATAGAGTAATTCTTAGTAATAGTATTACTGAGTACCAGTCAACCTACTGTCAGATACAGATATTCAATTTCATATTGTGATCTTGCACATTTTACATATATTGATCTAGAAAACATGAGATCAATATAAGTTGTGAATAATGGAGGAGAATATGAAACTTTAGTTTTGGAAATTTATTAATTTCCGAGATATTAATAAAAAATTTTCATACAATGCATAGAATTCTAATATTCTTAATCATCGTCATTGGCTTCATCTGCTCAAAATTTCGTATTGATCACGAATTGGTGTTTTTTAAAACTAGAAATTATGACAAAGTGACACACAAAGATTAGATCAGAGTTACTGTGTTATAACGTAAGATATTTTTCATATAAAGCTAAAATTAGTGGTTTCTTTATTACTTGCAATATATCCGACAATTTGTTAAAGTTTAATCCTTAAATTTCAAGATTTGTTGATGACTTATATGGAAAAAGTTTTGTAGACAGTGAGATCGATTATGTAAATATAATTCAGAAAATTATTTTCTCTTCATTTTAGAAACTTCTGTTTGATTTGATATATTTTAATAAATAATGGTGTAAATATTTAGGCTTTCAGGTTTTCATCTGTAATATTAAAATAATGTATGCATATTGCTATTGCTATTGCTATTGCTATTGCTATTGCTGGTTTAAATGGGGAAAATATTTCTTATTCTTTTCAACCTCCTATCTATTAAAATGTTTATTCAAAATTATATCGACAATTGGAAAAATCGGTTGTCTTTCCAAACAGCATTTAAGTACAAGTAATAAACATCAATACCATAATGTAATTTGATATAGAATTATAATAAATAACATAACACACAAATAAACATCAATACCATAATGTAATTTGATATAGAATTATAATAAATAACATAACACACAAATAATGTATATTCAACTGTATATGGTAAAAAAAGTATTTTAAATTGTAAATAAATAGAAATTCTATAATATATAAATATGATACGTATATGTAATTCTGTAATAATATAAATGTAATAGAATAGAGTATTATTATAATACTTACTAAATATATCTATTTTATATTGTACTATTACCATGTATTACTAATTACTATATATTTTGCTATATATATATGTGGATCCCACAGACGTCTTATTCATTAACAGTCATTTATTTTTAAATGATGGTGTTTCCAGTAGCTTTAATTCAACCAATGCAGATGTACATACATAAAAATATTTTTAATACTACATACTATACATAGATCATATTTGAATCTTTTAAACCGCTCTTATTCGATTTATTCCAAATAATTACTTTTATTGTATTAAAGAATTATCTGTTATGGCTTTGACCTTTATTATTTCAAGGTCAGACATTCTTTTATTGTATTGTAATCTATTCATTATGAGGACAAAAAGTTTCCAGAGAACAATGAATATTACAATCATTTTGCAAAAGATTTCAAATTATTCATTGGTTGCTGAACTCACATTATTTATAATGTGCTTAAATTCTGTAGGGGAAAATAACATCAGTTGTCTAACGTTCAGATTCATCATTATGTATACCATATCTACTTTTCTTCTTTTTTTCTGTTTCGTCACTTAAGCAATTTCGTACTTGCATTTTTACTTTTCGCGCATTATTGATTTCATATAATAAAAATCACATTTAAAATTTAACACAAATTTGAATATGCAAGTAAATGAGAGAAGATAATAATATTAATATTGGTTTTAAGGAATAGTTAATAATTTAGTTAGTTACAAATTATGTTTAAGAATGTTTTACGAATTATTCTTCTATCAGACTTCTATAACCAAATATTAGTATCTTTAAAATTAATATAACTAAGTATTAGTATCATTAAAATAAATCATATAAAAGAAAAACCCATCGTAAGACATGAATAGAGCTCTTTGTGATACGTAGTAAAATGATTTCGATTAATAACTAACTACATGTTTCAATATTGTAAATTAAACAATACTATAATGGATTTCAAAGATCATATTTCTGGTTTCACTACTTGATCAACTTGAATGATTTTTTGATATATCGGTATTATAGGACACGAAATTACATAAGGTGCAAAATTTATTCATATACCTTATCTGTAATAAATACAAAAAGTGTAGACTAATAAATTCTACTTTTAAATGCAAAACCATTAACTATCGATATATAAATTTGCCTTTATGTATGTAAATTTGATATTTTAATAAAACGCGATAAGTATCATTTGCATCAATACGTTTGCAAGGCGAATGATAACATTTCTATTGAATAAAAATCATATAACCTTTTACGCACGTTTTATACATATTAACGTTTTACGCGCTATAAAAGTACGACCAAAAACAATATTATTCAAATCGAGACTTGAGATACATCCAGCCGTACAACCTATATTTAATATTAAATTATATTTCATTAGCCTATGACAATCATTATTCAACTGGTTATCTAAATTATATCTATTTAGTTATCAGTATACAAATTAATTATTAATATACCAACTTCTTTTTATTATAATTTATACGGTAAACTTCCCAATATTTTGCTATCGTTCTCTTAATGAGAGGTTCACTTTATTACTGGAACAAGACATCAGAAGAAATCGATGAAGTTAGTTTAAAAAATAGTTCTTGTTATTTAAAGAAAAGAGTCATATTGAAGAAATTATACTAGACAGAAACAATCGAATTTGGAAAATGCCGCTAAACTAGAATTTGCCATAACCATAACAAGTATATAATAACATTTGTATTTTAATTTACGTAACATAACATTATAATTAATATTACAATTAATTGATGATCGATCGTGTAAGACATCGCAAATTATAAGACTGTAAGTGGTTATGAACTGCAGATAAGATTTTCACGGTGAGTGTTTGAATACTTTTGTGAATTCGATGTACTATCAGGTAAAGATATTCGTGAAACTTTGAAGTGATGACTGAGATGGCGGAAAATTCCAATTACAAAACTTTAGTTTGAGGCATTTATTAACTTCCTGAATTATTAACAAAAAATTATGATACAATGCAATCGCTAAATCAAAGTTCTGTTAGATTTTATACATTTTAACAAGTAATAACTTGTAAAAATCTTTCGAGATAGGTGTTGAACCATTCTCTTACTACAATGCTATTTATATTCTACCATTTTTATTATCGCCTAAAAGCAGAGGATTTATATTATTGAACGAGAGTGATCCTTTGTGGGCAGCACCCTTAATTTACCCTAGATATTTTACCAGTAATTCAAATTTGGACGTGTTAGTGGAAAGTGTGGAAATAGCTTTAAAATTGTTTGATAGCTAGTGATATGATTAAGGAGGACTGGTTGTCTCGCGATGTTGGATCTACATGATTTGGCGTGATAGATATGAATTAAGGTTAGTTCATTTGTGGAAACTAATCATCCCAATTTATGCGCTATACTAAATATTAAAATAATATTAAAGTAATAAATAATGTAATCTTCTAATATAAAAATAAACTATATAAGATATATTTAAATTATAATTATAATTATAATTTAAGAATAGTATTTAAACTATAATTATAATTTATTTGTTCTCATCTGGAGATAAATTATTAATATTGAATGAATCGTTAGTGAAAGGAACAAGTACTTGTAATGAAGCTGCATTATAGTATAATTATTACTCACTTATAATTATTTTTCGCTATAGTGACATTAACGCTGCAGGTTTCTAAAGTTTATATTTTAATGCGAACGAACGGAATAAATTTTGAGGATATGAGAACACTAATTTGAACATTTTAAATACTTTGTCTTATTTCATGGATTTTTAATTGTACTAATATGAAACTCACGGTTTCAACTCGTTCCTATAACACTTCATTCATAGTGACAAACTTGGAGAATGTTTAAAAAATAGAAAGGTGATTCCACTACATTGTTTTCGTACAATACGAGTGAAGTGAATGGAAGATGGATCTGTTGCTACGGTATGCCACACGTTGCCTGCTGTTAAGGTTCTAAAGAAAATTCTGCTCTGTTTTGTTCCACATTCAAATTATTATATGAAAATTTCATTATAATCTGATTATTGTCAATCAGACTGTTTTATATGAATGAAC